AACCCTAAACCCTAAACCACCAGAGACGTAGCTGATAAGCTTCTCAGGAGAAGGCCTTGATCAAGAAGTTGGGCACCTACATCAAGGAGGCGAGGTAAAATCCTATCCATATGGGGATTTCCTAAAATTAGGGGTACCCTTTTTGGGGTCCCCATAATAAGGATAATAGTATTTTTGGGTCTATATTGGGGTCCCCCTATTTTGGGAAACTACCATATAAGCTATAGTCTAAACTCCTTAAAGGGGAATATCTAGGGGATTATATAGGGAACTACTACAGGGCTTATTAAGGGGGATACTAGGAGTTTAGACAGTAGCTCATATGTGGTACACGTCGTGAGACCAGATTGTATAGAGATTTGGGCGTTCTTCTGTCGGAACTTGGGTGAATTTACCTATGTGGTGTCGTTGTAGGCACAGATTCGAACTCTTCAGCTTACCCTGGAGCTTTCTGAGTCCATGTATGATTAATGGTTTACGGGTGCCGGGCTTAATTAGGCTTTAGGCAAATTAGATTGTCCCAGCAGAGGATTGCCCAAGCAGGGCACCACGTTTGGCTGTTGAATTGGGCCATAGATGTCGTGCACACGTTTCTATGTAGGGCGGGTGTCTAAACACGAAACCTACCTGTGAGCACTCATCAAACCCAGAGAGCCCAATATCCCTTAATTAAGGAATATACCTTAAACGGTACTAGGGTCCCTTATATGGTGTACGGTATCTTCCTTCATCAAGGGGTATCTACCCCTTCTATTCCCGTATAGAACCTACATAAACCGTATATAGCCTCTATAACCCTTAGATACCCCTTATATTCCCCTAGGGCTCCAGTTACCTAAATAATGGGAACTGGGTACTATATACCCTATAGTTACGTAGCCCAGTAACCTACTATTTAGGTAACTGGGAGGGTTTAGGGTTCTTCAATTAAGGAGTACTGGGCTCCCTGGGTAGCACCCTTGGGGCTGTTCAATTACAACATCTTTTGTGTTTGCTCTGGGGGTTTCCCAAAATTAGGGGTACCTTTAAAGGATAGGGGCTATATAGGGATTAGACAGGGGTTGTATTATAGGGTTTAGTGTTTGAGGTTTAGAGTTTAGGGTTTCCCAAAATTAGGGGTAAGTTTTCTGGGGGTCCCCATAATAAGGATGATAGTATTTGGGGGTCTATATTGCGGTAAATTAGGGGCAATTTTTGGGGGGGTCCCCATAATGAGGATGATAGTATTTGGGAGTCTATATTGGGGTCCCCGTATTTTGGGAACTACCCTATGTCCTTTGGGTAGACCCTTTCTCGCAGACAGCGTCGAGTTCTCATCACAAAGGGTTCGAAAGAGGAACCGTCGTGGAGAACCAGCTTCCTGACAGAATGTGGAGTGCATGCATGAAGTTCTTGGCAGAGTTTTGCCTTAATTCGGCTGCGACTTTGCAGCAAGTCTACCAAGCCAGCAATTTGTTCGCAGCCATGCCCGTAGATGTAGTAGCACAGCTTGTAGAGTCACAGGCTCATGGTAAGGAATGTCTGGAAGTCATTACGAGGCATGGGTCTCACCTCGTGTAGGTACCAGCGGAGATCGAGCGCGTCTATACCAAGGAGAAGGTCGCGGGCTGAATGCATGGAACACGAACTGGGGCTCAAGGAACTTCAAGGTGCTATACCCGAGGCATAAAAACTTGACAAATTGGTTTCTTCCTTTTATGTGACGTCCGGGACGTCCCTTGGACAGGTGATCTTAGTATCTTGGAGGCATGTAATTATGGGGGTCAGCATTTCAGACTGCTGGAAAGCTAGATGCAGCGAGTAGCTTACGGCTTACAAAGCGCCTCGCCATGCGAGACGTACGGATAAACACCCTGCAGGGTTATATAGTCACGGAGTGACTACAGAAAATCACAAGTCGGCGGGAGAGACAGGTGGAGATGAGTGGGTTGCCCAGGCCTACGGGTTGGGTTTCTTTTTCCAGGCTCATCTCGGAGGACCTTTTCCGGTCCTTGGAGCTCCTAATTGTGGGCGCCGTCCGTTATACTGGGGATATATTGGGGTTATATAGGGGATAATGGAAAAGAAAATGGAAACTACTATAATGGGTTATATAGGGGTTATATAGGGGTTTAATATATCATGTCCGAGTATACTTTTGTGAGATGCCCGGCTCCCGCTTCCGGCTTCGGCCAGCATGCGATGGGCTAGGGCCGTTGTATTTCAGTACGGTGATGTTCCCTTTCAGGGATTTCCCGAGTGTCACTTGAATTTTGATTTTGGACAACCCTAGTGACGCAACAATGAGCTGCTCTGAAGCGGCATGGTGCTGGTGGATGCCTAGACTCGAGAGAGCGGGCGGAGAGAGAGAGAGAGAGGGTTTGATTGGTTGAGGGAGGTGATGTACCGTGAGAGGGGGCCTAGGTGGTGAACACTGTGCCCAACAATGCTTTCGACCCAGAGGGATCCGCGAGTCGCATACGTTCATGTTGTTTGATGACGCAGTGTTGGGGTGGAACAACAGTCTGCTTCTGCATTCGATATAAGAGTAGTGACCGTAGCTCATTGGAGACATGTGAGCTGTCAAGCACAAGAGCCTCTAAACCCCCACCCGTTGGTGCCGGCAAATAAAAATACGCTTACCCTGCCAGAACCACGCCTGAAGGTTGAAAAATCGAAAATCTACACGATCACCTTTCTTAATTGATGCTAATAATACTGCCATTGCAACTACCGCAACTGATGAAAACTTGCAATTCTGGAGACCTACGAACACGCCAAGTTTGCTAGGCCATTCCGATCCTCTACGGATCCCAAACCAGCTGTGAGGCAGGGTGTTTTCTGTTTGCAATGATCCCTTCCCTCTGTTGACGAAACGCACCTGCGCCACTCCCAATTTTATGAGTTACCACATCAGATACTGACGGTGTTTTTTGTGGTGCTTCATGACTTGAAGGTGTTCCGGATACAGGATCTAGGTGATTGGGTGGTGAGAGTGTGCTGATTTATAATATATTGTGCTACCACACGTGAACCTCCTAGTAGGCAATTCATATGAGCTACTCCTGTAGAAGAGGTTATTGCGCAGAATCTTTGACTTGTTTGATGGGCAACCCATGTCTCGCCCAACCGGGGTCCCCAGACGTTGAGCTATCCCGAACCTTTGCATTCTGTCCTCCGCCTCAAAAAGAAGCACTTACCTGAGGATATGTTGCGGAGTTCCTAGCAGCTAACAGTTCCAACGAACGAGCTCACGCAGCCACAAGTCTTGCATATCCGGAATTGTATCCATATCATAGGGTTTTGGACTACTGTAACTGGACATGGCCTACGTGCGAAGAGGGCCAGGATCTTTGCCCCTGAGCGGTGCGAGGCAATGAAGACCTTCTTCTACTACAACAAAAACAGCACTCTCCTGGATGCCACAAAGCTCAAGTGGCTGGGCTTGCTTCAGTGGGGTTGGGCAGGCACGCCTGAAGCACTAATTTTTACTCCAGGGGTGAAGGGGGTTGTTGGAGGTAACCAGAGAGCCCAATACCCTTGTATTGAGGAAGATACCTTAAATGGTATTAGGGTCTCTTATTGGATTAAAGCTATCCTTTTTGATTAAGAGGTATTGGGCCCCCTGGGCACATAAGAGCTGACACCTCCTTGTACCAGCCCATACGCGATAAACTACCCTAATTATAAACTATAATCGACTATAATATAACACAATATACCAGAACAAGTCCTAGACCGGGAGGCTAAACTTTTAAACTGCATGACGCTGCTGCAAAGAATCCAGATGTGCCTGAAATAGTTCCTAGAGTCCTCTACAATGCCTGCAACGCTTCAGTCTTTAATTTTCAATGTCCCGAAACCCTGAACACTTAACCTTAAAACCCTAAAGGCTAAAACCCTATGGACGAGGGGAACATACCTTTGTTGATGATGGTTCAGGGGCTTAGCTATCCCTAAGCCTTAAACAGCAGTTTCCATGCCATCGTCCATCTGTTTTTTCTGGTTGATTCTCCATTATTGGCGATAATATGGTCTACTTACTGGGGGTTAGTAGGGAACCCTGCTTTGATATATTCCCTTGGTCCCTACCAACCCTTAAGCCCGGCTCCCTAAACCCTAGAAACCCTAAACCCTAAACACTAACCCCCACTAAGTTTAGGCCTGGGGTTTAGCTCCCTCAGTTTGGGGCTTCTTAGCCCATCCTCTGCCCAGGCGCGTCAACGGCGGAGCTTTGGAGGAATGCCGGCGGGCGATGGTCTGGTCCATGAAGCGCCTTCAATTCAGTGTAGTAAGATTTTGGAAAATTATGGTAGTGTATAACATATGACTGCATATTATAGTCTGTTATAGTTGCAGTTTGGCTTTAGGGTAGTTATCTAGGCGGGGAAAAGCGCAAGTTACGAAGAGGTCATGTCTTATAGTCCCTTGCGATTGTTGCTATGGCTAGCACTTGTTGCGAAATATGCCTGCATGGGTGTCGGTTGACTGTGAACACATGGCTGAGGGTGTATAGTCTCCTTAAAGTAGATATGATATGGCTTCGGGCATATTATAACAAGATCCCCATATACCCCAGATTCTATCCCTTAACCCTAAATAGTTTCCATTTTCTTTTCCAGTATCCATAGATAATCCCACTAATATACCCCAGATTCTATCTACTTAAGGGGGACTCTAGGGGTTTCCGGGATGCTGGAGCATAACTGCTGTCAATTGCTATCGTGTGCTCGTGCTCACCATAGCCCAAGCAGAAGGCCGAAACCACCAATGTTGCCAGGGTGCAGGGAGGTTCGAGTCTGTGTAGGGTTTAGGCTTCAGGGTTTCTGAGCGTGGACATGTCGCTACGGCGAAAGCGGTGTCACGTCACCACCCAGGGATGACCTGTATAATGCGGGGATCAAGCCCGCAATTGTAAAATGTTTTGTCAGTTCTTGGTTGCCAAGCAAGTAGGGCCCTACCTCTCTTGTCGGCCTCTGGCGGAGCCTTAGACCAAGTGTGAGGTTCAGGGTCAAGGAACTGGGTTGATCTGCCTGTAGTTTGCCATGATGATTGCATCATGTTTGTTTTAATAAGCCCCATCTACAAAACGTCATTGCTTCCACGGTTGTATCAGGGCAGATCTATGTTAACTCGTGGGCACGCACAAGCGAGCGAGAGAGAGAGAGAGAGAGAGACGTGCTGTGCTCCGCGCCCCATGGGCACCTGACTCGTGTGACCTGGACGTTTGGGCTATGTGGCGCAGCCCCATCGTACTTTCCGGGCATTGCAAGAAGATGAGGAGAGAGAGAGCTACACCCTGGGACAGCCCTCTCATGGTGGGGAGTGGGGGAAAGGTTTCATTCATTGCGCCAGAAAGGGGTAGGATGGTTGCGGCACTCCGAGGAATAGCATGTGGCTGTTCCTCGGCTTGTAGCCGGCCAGAGGACTCAGATTTTCCTAGCCTTCCTCGGGCAAACATGAACCGCACGTATGGACCCTCCGGAAGAACTCGTGTCAAAGGACAGCAAGCACTTTGGGGTTTCATGCTGGCCCGGGTAACTTAACGCTTCATATCCACACATACAATTTCTGCCACGCAGCCTTTGCAATTCCTGTTCTACCGCCTCATAGACCTTTGCACAAGGGGCCATAAAAGCGCAGTCCTTACTCCTCGCAGCCTTTGCTTCATGAGGCTTGGGACAACGCTCTGCATCTACTGCGGCGATATCCTCCCAGACTTTCAGGAGAAGATTTGTATCTCCAAGTGCCTTGGCTGAAGCTTGACTCTAGGGCTTTTGAAAGTATGGGCAAGGTGTTGCTTCATGGGCCAAGGCCCCAAGAGTCCCCCTTAAGTAGATAGAATATCTCTGTGTGTATATTACAATAAGATCCCCATTTACCCCATATTCTCTCCCTTAACCCTTAACCCTAAATAGTTTCCATTTTCTTTTCCATTATTCGTATATAATCCACATAATATACCCCAGATTCTATCTACTTAAGGGGGACTGTGCACCCTGGCACCTCCCAAATCTAGGCTTGACCCGGGGTTCTGTCTCGCGGGGTGGGAGGTAAGCTCTTTGGACTGGGTGGAGAGTGGGTGGAGAGAGGAAAGTTACAATGCCAGGTTGGCATGGGATGAGGGAAGGGAAGATGTAGGGTGTATGGATTAGGGATTAGGGTTTAGGGATTAAAGTTTGGGGATTCGGGTTTTGGGACTAAGGTTTAGGGAATGTCAAACTTAGCTTGGAAAGAGGTCCATTGTCCAGCTGCACTTCCTCAACCCAGCCCCAGCACTGAGGATAGGCATGAGACGGTTTGGATTTTGCCGAGGAGCTGCGACCCCCAACTAACACAATGAGCTCAACGAGTAATGTAGAGCTGCATGAATGAATCTTACTGAAGAAGGGATCTCGCGAAGGGCGTATACCTCATGGCTAGGGTTTGGGCTTTCAGGTGCGCGGAGTCCCAGACCCTCCAATTCCACATAGATCCCTGGTAACCCCTTTAAAGAGGCCACTGTGCTTTTTGAAGCTCAGTCTGATCCTGAGGTACAAGGACACGTTCCCGCTCTCTCTGTTCATGTACGGTGGCATGGTGACACGGACCGCATCCATATAGTACGTAGCAGCAGGAAGGTTAGTAAGTAGAAGCAGCACTAGTCATGATAGCAGTAATGATAATAAGAGTAGATGGTAGTAGCAGCACCAGCAGTGGCAGAGGGTCTTGTCATGTCTTGTCTGAATTCATCTTGGGGGTAGAGATTGGACCTCTGCAGAGCCTGCCGTGCTGGGAATCACAGTGGGCTCATGTCAGGTTTTGGAGTGTATGCAGCAAGAGGGGTTAGGGTTAGCCCACTTAATTTTGTGAAGAGATCTAGGAATCTATTTTAGAGATGTGATACCATTTCTGCATGTGGGCTCGGTCTTCTGGAATTGCTTTTTACCGGTTCAACCCATGCCTGTAGGCTTGTAGCATTAGACGTGGCAGTCTTCCCCAACCCAAAAGCCTTCAAACCTAATTGAGTCCCTGTGTACTGCTTGGAGCGCAGAAGTAGTGTTCAAATGCTTCCGCTATACTGTTGATTGGATGTCTTTGACTCGCAGGACTTTTCTTGGACATGGTGGTACTAGGAGTGTATACGAACCTTGTCATTGTAGCCATGGTCCCTTGGCCACTATTAGTGGGTGGGGCTTATAGCCTTAACAGTTTACGCGACATTGACACTATAGAAAAACCTTGTGCTAGCCAAATGTGATCTCGCACGCTGGTCCTACGCAGCGCAGCAGACCCCTGACCTATTCCCAAGCCTTTAACCCAAAATCCCAACACCAACTGCTGTCAACCCAAAATCTAAACCCTCATCCCGAAACCCCAACCCTCAACCCTCATCCCTAACCTCAATGGTGGTCAGTAGGGAATAAGGGGACAGAATCCCTAGATATTCCCTACTAACACCCAGTAAGTCAACCATTGGTGGGTATGAGACCAAGGAGAACGAGTTGGTGCGAGAGCGGCTTTTCAGGGATGACGAGCCATGCCTGTCGAAGGTCCCCACGCAGTTCTAGTAAATTAGCTATTATAGGGTACTATAGTATATAATACTACTATTCTAACATATGACGGCATATGATTGTAACATTTCATTATTACAGTGTGTTATCCCATATTACGGTATATCATTGCATTTTGTTGTATAATGTAGTCTGGTATTTTCTATTTAGTATATTATAAGAAGAAGTTGTTGTTGTCGTTGTTGTTGTTGTTGTTGTTGCTGTTGCTGTTGCTGTTGCTGTTGCTGTTGCTGTTGCTGTTGCTGCTGTTGCTGNNGTTGTTGTGGTCGTCGTCGTCGTCGTCGTCGTCGTCGTCGTCGTCGTCGTCGTTGTTGTTGTTGTTTTTTGCCGTTGCAAGTTTGTTTAGGCTTTAGGCTGTGGGCTTAGGATGTCAAGCGCCATTTGAAAAACTGAAAATCCGAGTCTTGAAGCCTTAAAACCTCAGCCCAAGAAGATGTTCTGGTGGGTCGGGGGATTGCTGCAGGTCTACACAACTACACGACCTTGCCGATCTGGTTTAGGGCTTAGGTTGGCCTTCTCCCTAATATTATATGCGCGCTCTCACCCACGCTCCTCAACATTGAACATTTCCCATAGTGACCCAAAGATCTCGGGGCACATATTCATATTCAAGACTAAGGGGCCAGTGTTCATAGGAGAATGGCTGGGGTCTAGAGTCTATATATTTGCGTGGAGACGGTTAGACTTGCTCCAGGTTGCCATGACAGCGCTCGAGGAAGTTTGCACAGCTGTGAGGCAACTTATTGATCCGTTTAGGGCCTCGCCGTGCGAATTTTTACCGTGACAGATGATGAAAAAGCCGTCCTTCGCAATTGTTAGGTAGTGTTATCCAGCACCTACTCCAAACCTTAAGCCCTTAACCCTATAACCCTGAAATAGGGCTGCGGCAATACATTCATTTATGCCCGAGCCTGGCATGACAAAACTTACGCTTGCCTCCTCTGCGAAGCACCAAACCACAATATAAGTTATAGGAAATAACTCATGTAGACGTCCTACATGATCCTACATGGTCTTCACCAAGACCTCGTGAAAGCGGGCCTGTTTCTTAAATCCGAACCCTAGCGATCCCAGGAGCCTCAAAGCAGGCATTATCTTTAGATGTTAGGGCCCGAAGTATAGTATTATCTACAGTTCCTAAACCTAAACCCTAAGCCCTAGAACCCTATAGTTCCTAAACCCTAAACCTTAAACTACAGTCTAGAGGCATGGAGCCCTTGGGAAGCACTCATGCACCCTCCCAGGGAGCCCAATACCCCTCAATTAAGGCATGTATCTCAAATCATATAAGGGGCCCTAGGACTGTTTAAGGTATATTCCTCATAAAGTCTATATAACCCACATATAATCCCCTATAGAATACCTACAGAATCCCTATATATTGCCTGGTACCTTTAAACCTTAAATCTGAAACCCTCAGCCCTCTAACTCTAAGGAGAAGGAAGGGGGCCAGTGCCCGGTCCGCCCAGGGCTCCTTGTCAAGGTTTTTGGGTGCCGGCCTTCGGGCTGAGGGTATAGAGTTTAGGGTTTAGAGCTTATGGCAAAGGATATAGGTTATATAGGGATATGTAGGGATAATTGGAAAGAAGATGGAAACTAAAGTATTTTATAGGGTTTAATATAAACCCTAAACCCTAAGCCTCAAACCCAAAACCCAAAACCTGAACCCCTAAACCCTACTGTTTAGGGTTGAGGGTTAAGGGTGGTCCTCCTAAGGTATAGGGTCTGGTGTAGTGCGAAGGGGTTTGGGGGGGTTCAGGTGTGGGCTTGGACTTGAGGGTGTAGGATTTGGGATTTAGGTTTCAGGGTGTGGGGCTTGGGTTTCGTGGTGGGTGTAGGGTTCAGGAACTCCTGGAGCAATATGGTAGGCGCGCTAGAGGAGGCAAACACGCCAGTTTTTTTTGTTAAGCTTGTGTTCCATGCGTGTGCGTTGTTTTTTTTTGGCGTGCCCATCTGGGATGCTTGTCAAGTATAGCCCCCATCTCACATGATATTTCGAAAGCGGCTCAATGAGGACTGCTGTCCTTGCTGGAAGGGAGGCCATGTGGGGTTCTTTGCTAGTCTCGGGACGGGTCAAGGAACTGGGATGAAGAGGTGATGAAGATCACCGCCCCCAAACCACAACGAGCACAACAGACCCAAAACACGAATATGTGAAGACCTTTTTCCAGAAGCTCGCAGGTTCATGGTCTGCATCATGCTGATGTATGACACTATGGGCCTGGTGTCTGGGCTGACAATCGTGGAAGTTGTTTCAAGGTTTTCTCAAAACGTGAATAGTCTCACTATGTCGATGAGGGCTCCGCAGCATCGCGAAATCTAATAACCTACTCCGGACTCATGGTTGAGGCACCATCTTTAAAAGCGAGAGGTGGTCTAACCTTTCGCAAATGGTGGCGATTTCTTTGAACTCGTTCGAGGATGTTGTGACCAATCTCTCAAGTGGCTCCAACCGATTGCAGCTAGAGCACAGGGTTTTCAGTTGTTTGTGGTGGAACTTCTGTGTTTTCTGCAAAGAGATAAACAAGGACCAATCTGGGAAAAAGTTGTGTTCTGGCTAGCTCGTGCGTCATGTGCCTCGCATCTACATACTTAGTGTTTAGCGTGCTACTAGATTCAATTATAGATATATTGTATACACATGCACACATACACATACACATTTGTACACCCACGTTGCCTATGTTATGTTCAGCGTTTACATAGCTTAATTGAAATGCTTGGATGCAAGGCCATGAGCAGCTTCCGTGCTGAAGAGATCCGGAGCAAGATCCCTGAATCTGACCGAGTCCTGTCTGCCGAGCGTTTGGGGATAAAAAGTTCAGTGTTGAGGCTCTAGGGCTTTGGGGAGGGGAGTAGGGGGTAGTTTCCCAAAACAGGGGGACCCCAATGTAGACCGCAAAATATTATTAACCCTTATCATCAGGACAGGGTGTAGGCTAATATACTTTTGACTCGGGAGTACCAGAGCTTTTGTGGCACATGAGCTGTTACTTTCCGGCTTGGACGCGTCATGCCCCCATAGACCTGATGCTGAGATGTTAAAGCCCAAGTCTACAGTCTCTCCTCGTCTTCAACTCGTTCAAGTTGTTGACTAGATTTTTTGTTTGCATGACGTAGGTGCTTGACAAGTTGAGTTTCTCAACACGTAGACTAGGCAAGGGCAGCAAGTTTGAGGCGGGTGTTTGTGATGTGCTGTCTACCCAGGCTGCAAGCTTGGGTAGGCAACGTAGCACATTGGGCATGGAGAGTTCGTTGAATTCACCGGTGGAGGCTGGTGTCGGCTACCAGTGACGTCATCGGCTTCATGTAAGTTTTTGCGCAGCCCAGTGTAACAGAGGCAAGCCAGCATGCTGGCGTACACCTAGTCACTCGTCTTCCTGTTTGAACCAAGAGTCTTGAGTAATTGGTTTGACTTGTATTGCGGGGGGCATGAGAAATATCAGGTAGAAGAGAGATTCTGTGGCCACAACTTCGACATATAGAGTATTGCCCCATCCAATGGCTCTCACACTCCCATACTGTATTCTAGCTCCAGAGTTTGGTAAACCATGGTAAACCCTAAGCTCTAAGCCCTAAACCCCTGACAAACCGTGGGGGATTGGGGGTGTTCCATACTTGGAGGGTCAGGGGGACTAAGTAAGTAGGTCAATAACCCTCATAACCCATACAATAACCCTAATTATCCCCATTATTAACCTCCTTACTAAGCCCCTAAACCCTAAACCCTATACTTTAGTAGTTTCCATTTTCTTTTCCATGATCCCCCATGACCCTCCAAGTACCGTGAAGTGGAGCCTAGGAATGGCCCACATCCGCATCTACAACGACGACGACCGACTGAAGCCTTGGCCTATATAGGGTGTTTAGGGTTTAGGGTTTAGGTTCAGGGGCCTATAATGGAGAATCAAATGGAAAAGAAAATGGAAAATGAAATGGAAACTGGGATTATATGGGGGTTGTTTGTATTTTATTTGGGGGATACTATGGTACCCAATATAGAGTAAGATTATATCCTCCTTTTGGGGAGTAGTATTTTATATAAGGAATATAATCTTACTAGGTTCAACCACCAGAAAAGGGTACTCAAGTGAGCTATGATCTAAACTCAAATGGGGCTGATATAGGCAATTCTATAGGGCAATAGTATAGGGGGTATTAAGGGGGATGCTAGGAGTTGAGACTTTCGCGCAAGTTGTGCTTTAGGGATGCCACCCACTAATAGTGACCACAAGATATAATGGTACTTAAATTAGGGTCCCTATATATTCCCACCGTCAACTACTGGGTGGCGGCCTAAACCCACGTCATACGGTACATGGAAGGTCTAGCACGGCTGAAGATCCACATCATGCTGTAATTCCTACGGCATATGGGTTTACCGTTTGGGGTTTTAGGGTTTAGGGATTAGAAGGGTAAAGGGTATATATATACATATAGATATATGGGTGGCCAGACTTCTTCCATCCACAATAAGGGGTGGTTTCCAAAAAAGGGGCTGTTAGGGACCCTGGGGATTTGCAGGGTTTGTTTGGGGGTTGGTAGAGTTACCCTGCAAGATTGTGTAGGGACCGCTTGAGAAACTCCCATAGGGTTCAGGGTGTACGGTTCCATTACGCTAAACTTTCTCAAGCTGATCAGCCTTTATAGAGGGGCCAGTGGACCCCAGTATGTATATTTGATCAAGCCAGAGACATAGAGCGCCCCCCAATCCAAACCACCGACTACTAGGCTTTAAAGGACTTGACAGTTTGTGTTTGTGTGTGTTTATGTTTTTTTTTTTTGTGTGGTGTGTAGTCTTTGGGGGGGTAGTATGGTATCTAAACCCAAGCCTACACTCCTGCGGCGCTGATCTAATACGGGGTTTTTGATAATGCCCGGCCTTCAAAGCAGGCCCGATTATGAAGATGCTTCAGGCTGGTCTTTTTGGGGGGTATTGGGCTTACCAAAATCTTTTTCTTGAAGTGGTCTTACAAAGCATCATCACACCTTGGGGTACTTTCAACCGGAGCATTCATGGCATGCCTGATATTTCCCCCTAGCTTGGGCTGGCAGAAAGGTCCAAAGTGATCGGCAAAATTGTTTCTGCAGTTGCCAGACTGCTGCAGGCTTTACTTTTCAGGGTTGGGGCAGTATTTGTTCAGGGCTTAACGTTCACTTCTCAACCTGAGCGCCTCTCATTTGGGGACCCTGAACTTTTCTACAACTGTACGACTGCTGGACATTGGGGCTCTTTTCTATGAATATTCTCTTCCTTGGTCCCTAAAGTTTGTAAATAGTACCAAAACCCTGTTACGCCCTACATAACCCCCATAATCACTTTAAAAGGTACCCCCCGCTTTGGGAATCTTTGGGACACCCCAAACCCTATATAACCCCTATATAACCCATAATATAATCCCTTTAAACCCTTCGGGATAGGGTGGGCAGTATCCAATCTTAGCTTCAAGCAGCTCAGGAAGGCCTTGGAAGAGCTGCGAACGGGCCGCAGGGCTGAGTGATCTCTTTGCCGAGCATGCCTGCCATGCCTACCATGTGGTCTCTGCAGGGTTCGAGGTGTAGGGTGTAATTTATGTCTGCAGGTTTGGGCTAAGGAATGAAAAAGGAATGATTTTGCAGGGGTTGGCAAACCTTTGGCTCAACGCGCAGAAAAGCCTGCGGAGGAAACAGTGTTTGTTTCTAAACGCCTGAATGATGGCTCAGCATGAGCTCTCATGATATTTACTTCACTCGATGAGGCCACCAGTTTCACCGTAGGAAGCGTTTCACCTCAGGGTGCAAAGATTCATCCTGCTGCGCGCCCTTTTCGGCGATTTTCCCCTCGCTCACCAGAAACTCAACTCGGGGTCTGTGGGTCTTGGCACTGTCGCACTCAGACCCGGGAAGTTCATTTTGTAGTTCACCTGGTTAATTTGAAGGCTTATCACCTCATCAGCGTTATCGCTTCACCAAAGGTACCATGATCACCCACGTCATCCTCCAAAAGTACCTGGCTTACACAGGACCTTCAACGCATTGTTTGCTTTTACGCCGAGACTCTCGGACACGAAGGGCCATAAACCCTATCTCTGGAGACGTGTGGGAGTTGGAAGGATTTAGGCAAAACGTCTACTTTCCATCATGCACTAAACAAGGAGTCGGAGGTTTCTCAAAGTGGTGGGTTCTTTCTTGTGAGGCGTTTTTGTTTCAGGAGAGGTGATAGAGAGGCAATGAGTTTTTAAGAGGGAGACACAACAAGGAGACCTGAACAAAACAATGCAAACTCAAGCGTCCCGTATCTTTCTGCTGTAGTGGTGAGGGCTGAGGCTAGGTTTACCACAGACTCTAAGCTCTGAACCCTAAGCCCAAGACTACCCACACTTGCTTCCAGCCCCTTGCTATCGTGTTCGCAGGTCTCAGGTCATTCTCGTGCACTGGGTTACAGGCATCACATTATCACAGCAACCCTAACCCCTAAACCCTAAACACCTAAACCCCTACGTAATCCCTAAACCCCTAAACCCTAAGGGACCTTGGTCACCTCAAGACTCTCAGCCCGCTTTATAAACCCCATGCCGGCAGGCCGAGCGAGGAGATGGCTTCGAAACAGAGAGGCTGCAAATGTGGATTCCCTGGCTGGGAGGGGTCGGGGAAATACGGTAGATACTAAGAATCCTGCATGACCCTAAGTACAGTACATATTGGGAATTATGGTACTACAGAACATTAAAGTCATGCAGGATTTTTAGTATCAACAGTAGTATAGTTAGGTGTCGTATTATAATAGGGATCCAAAAGGGACCATAATTGGGGTCAGGGATATGGCTTATCATTCAGGACTTGGGGTTTAAGCATGTCAGTCCTGTGGTGTAGAGTTTTGGTCAAGGGCTAGAGAAACCAATTATGGAGGACACAAGTCTACCACCATAGAACTACCTGGGCTGGGCGAACTGTAAAGATCCTAACTGACCTCGCGCTGAATTGTGTTTCACATCGGTGTTGTCAACATTATTGTCCCTTGATGGGCGCCCCTGATATCAGGCTCCGTATTTTGACAGCCTTCCACGTAAAAAGTCCCATCATGGCGCTCTTCCGGGGTTTGTGATCATCAAGATTAAAATCAGACTGTTATCTCCTTCAGGTTTTGTTGGTTTCGGCACTTTAGAATTTGAGTCTTTAGAGAATCGGGGTTTCCAGGTGCAGGACTTGCAGTTTAGGAAGGGGCTATAGCAAGATTGAGGAATGTTGCGGATTTGGGGCTCAGGGTTTAAAGTTTAGGCCTTCGGTTCAACGGTTATTGTTCAAGGTGTACGGCAGGGTTTAGGGTTACCCTAAAACCCTGAAACCCCAAGCCTAAACCCTGAACCCTGCCTCAAGCATGACCAGGCCCTCACTTGCGGCTAGAGTAGCGAGGCCCACCTTTACATACAGTCCCAAGAGCTGGGTCTCTCAATGCTTGGTGTAGAAAGGAATCTAAGCTCCTAACTCCCCTGAAGCAGGCATGGTCCCTGTTTGGAATACTGGTGCTCTCAGCCCGCCATACTGCATGCCGTAAGGGGCCCTAGATTTATAAGACAACCTCTAATGTTAGGAAACCCTAAACCCTGTGTAATATAGCCCCTACATAAACCCCTACAATAGTCTCCTAATTATGATAGCGATGTTGCTTCGGGGGAGGCTGGAACTGTCAGCGTTGTACCTCCGCGAAAAGCATCTCAGGGTCTCCATGATCACTAGTTTCACGAAATCTTAGACTAAAACGTGTGGCGATGCCATTGCAGCAGCGCTGCATGTGGTTTTGGACCATGCAGCTTCATCCTCCGAACTGAGATCGACTGGTTTGTGACATGTGGCTCAGTATTTGTACATGCGGACCGTTGGTTGGATTATGTTCCGATGTCACTCCGCCTAACCACTGCGTATTTTGAAAGCACGCGTGTAATTTTTCAACTTTTATGTCATCCCAATGAAGCCGTATGATCAGCCACCTAGGCCCCGCAGAACCCTTGCATCAAAAGAAACTGCCCGCGTGGACCTGAAAGCCTTCAAAGCCCCAACCCCCAAGGGGACTTGCAGGCAGCGGCAGGTGCACAAGCACCTGCAATCGAATTCGCTGCCTGGGGCTTGGCAGACATGGCTTCCAGTTTAGCTGAGTTTATGTCCTAATGTCCTAGGGCTCTTGGCTGAGGGCTTGCTCAGATGGTTTGTCAAGCAGCTTCTAATTCTATTTTAAGCTCTTGTAACCCCCTTATGACCATATTTGCTTGTCATCTAACTAATCCCCAGCCCATCTAGGCGCCGCCGGATCACGAAGACCTTTGAGAAGTAGATGGGTGCCATAGCAGTTTTGGCAGGACCCGGTTCAGCACTCTGAACGCTAGAGAGGCTGTACGGGGGCTTCAACTCTTCGCAGCAGAAGCAAGTACCCCTCCCCCTACTCTCTCCCCCTACTCTCTTTTCCAGCATATGGCTGTATGTCGCATATTGTTGTCTGGATTTAAGTAGAGGTGCAAACAGGGAGCTCTTTATGAAGGCTGGCAGCAGGCATTGAACGAATTACATATATTCAGAAACAGCGGCTCTTGGTTGTTTCCATAAATCGCAGGACCCCAACATAGACAACAAAATGCCATAATCCTGCTTATGATGGGGGCCCGATCGTACTTCAAAAAGGCGAGACCTTGGATGTCCCACCTCTTTTGGAATATGCCCTATGAGTAAGCATGTAGGACAGAACCCCAAAAAGAAAGGACATACAGGGTGCATGGAAAGCCCTAAACCTGAAAAACCTCAATCCCACTCCTCAATGACGCTCCAGGGAAGGCCCTCAACCCTAAACATTAAACCTTCAAGTCCCATTCCTCCGCGGTTTAGGGGTTTAGGGCTTAGGGTTTAGGGTTTAGGGTAAGGGCATGAAAAGGTTTTGCGCGGACCTGTTTGGCAAGGACGCCGTCCTCGAGCCACACGCCTTCCCTTCGGATATTTCTCTAGGGAGCTCCTCTATGAGATACTGTCTGTCAATCTTAGGATGACCAAGGACTAATTGGGGTGGACATAGGGGTCTCTTTGGTAGTTCATTATAGTCCCCAGTGTATTCCCTAATGGGGACACATGTCCGTTAATTGCGTAACGAAATATTGAATTATTCAATATTTCGTATTTGGCGACTTGCTCACCTAAGCTCGGGCTACTTCCATCCCTTGGGATCTCATTGTCAGCCACCAGATTTACACCTCGAAGCAGCTGCCCCCTTAAGTAGATAGAATATGGGGTATATGGAGATCTTATGATATAACCCAAAGCCATATTCTACTTAAGGCTGCTGCTGCTGCTACTGCTGCTACGGTTGATTTCCCTTATGGTTGCAGTCTCATCATCTGCCCTCTCCATTTCCTGCCGTTCATGATGCTGGACTAGCCGTTGCAAGCGATGTCCCAACTTGTTGGCTGATGGCCACCCCTTATCGTGGTAAAGCTGTAGATTGTTTCGAAGTCCTACATGACGTTACATTCACGAAAATAATCTCAAGATTCAGGCAAGATGCTGAGGCCTCACAAACTCTGCAAGCATTGAAGACCTTCCGGTAGGAAATACGACCTATGACCAGCATATCCCGGGCGTGGGTGCTCTTGAAGTAGCCATCAGGAAATCTCTTCTTCAAACGCTTGGTGGCCTCATCTGTAGAGCTTTCAGCCACGGTTTTCTTGGCCATCTTTCTTTTGGGCAAATGTGTGCTTAGGCCTAAACGTCTGTGGGGAGAGAGAGCGAGTCAGCTAACAGTAACTTTAGAGTCGAATGGAAAATGACAGGATTTGACTCAAAGGATTGAGGTCATCCACTCTTCAGATACTCACGTGAAGCCCCCATAAAGAATGAGAAATGCTGAGCTTCGGATGCAGAAGCTAGAGCCTCAGACTCAGACCCAACCAATACTGGCTAATATAGCTTTTACTGGAGATTCTCAAAATGAGGGGCCCTCAGGGACTCCAGGACCATATGAGCTGTAGTCTAAACTCCTTAAAGGGGGGGTATATGGGGGATTATATACGGGAGTATTGTAGGGATATTAAGGGGGATACTAGGAGATTAGATTATAGCTCATCTAGGGATTAGATTGGGATTAGCGGGGGTTCTTATTGGGAATAATGTAGGGATCATGTTGAGAAAAAACGTATAAACCTGGCAAGAGACCTACATGACCTTGTTGGCATCCCATTTTCCATCCCTTGGCGTTGGAATGCCCATTTCAACTGCCCCGGAGTACCCATATGACTCAAGGAAGAAGATCCCCATAAACCTGAAGCCCCAAACCCTTAAACCCCAAGCCCCAAAACCCCAAATCCTAACCCTAGACCCTATATACCCCTATTCTAGTAGTTTCCATTTGCTTTTACATTATTCCTATAATAACCCCAGGGTTGTTGGGGGAAGGTAGGGTGCGGGGTCTGGGTTGGTGAAGTAGAGCGGTGTTGGCTTCCTTTTTTTCTAGCCTAAGAGGATTTAGGGTTCAGGGTTTAGGGTA